GGGGGGGGGGGGTACCGGAAGGGAGGAAGGAAACAAAGTTTGGGCCGAAATCAGGCTTGGGCCTCTTCTTTGGGATGGGGCTTTCTGCAGAGGATCATGTGCATCGGAGAGAAAATGCCAGAGTCACCGCCTCTGGTCAAATAGTCAGCGGTCTTGAAAAGCATATCGTGGACATCGACGGTACCCTTGGGCGCGATTCCCAATGCGGCGAGAACAGTTACGACAATGTGGTTCCGCCAGTAGGCGATCCTGCCCATCTTCAATCGGCTCCACCAGGGCTGGGCCGGGGGCTTAGCCAGATCCCGCTCCTTCACCACCACGAAGCCAACCTTACGCGCGGCGGCGGCTATGTCGGCGTAGCTCCTGAGGCCGGGAAGCGCGTCGCCCCTCTCAATCCCCTGAATGACCTCGACGTGTTCGGGGTCCTCGGCGCGGAACTTGTCCGTGGTGACCCACTCGTAGGAAACGTAGAGCGCGCCGGGCTTCAGAACCCTAAAGATTTCGGCGTAGACTTCCTCGAGCTTGGGCGCGTGACACGTGGCCTCGATGGAGTAGGCGCCGTCGAAGGTGCTGTCGGGGAAGGGCATCTGGAGGAAATTCCCGCACACCACCTCGCAGAGGGAGTCCAGCCCGGCCTTCTTGTTGTGCAGCCTGGCCCGCTTCACCTGGTACTCGTTGATTGTGATGCCCACCACGTTCGCCCGCGAGTGGGCCGCGATGGCTCGCATGGGCCCCCCCACGCCGCAGCCCACGTCCAGGATCCTGTCCCCGGCCCTCGCCTCGATTAGATCCACCGCCATCTCCTCGTGCAGGCGCGTGGCCTCTCCGTGTGACTTCCCTGGGATGGAGGGCGAGAAGTGGAAGGACTGCCCCCACCCCCACTCGTATATGTCCGTCACCAAATTGTAGAATGTGTCCACAAAGTCTGGCACTTTATCTGCCGTTTCGATCTCCTTCGGCCGCCGGAAGAACGACCAGTAATCCTTGTAGTTTTCCCTCACTTTCTCCGCCGATATTGACCCCCCCGACAGATCCGTCGCTCTTTTCCCCTTCTGCTCCGCCGGCCCCAGCACGCACACGAACCAGTACAGCCCGCCGGCGATCAGGGCTCCTGTGCACAAGAGAGAGAGAGAGTCCATTGGGAGTGTGAATTATGAGAGAGAATATCGCTCTTTCTTTCTAAACCTTCTTTACTTTGGGCTCCCTACTCTGGGTGTGGCTGTGGGCTTAATTATGTTGTGTTGTGGGGGATGCCAATTGCCAAACCATTGGTCCCTACTCTTTGTTTTTATTCGCTTGTGTTGTGGAATGTGCCAATGTGGATCGCTCTTCTCTTCGCTCACGCTGCTTCACTCCACGTGCTTCGCGCGTCTATCTTGCTTCCTTTCATTCAATTAAACAATGCCCACACAGACCAACAACGCTTATCTACCATATTAATAATTAAATCCTTTTACGTTTGTTACTCGCTTCTTCTTAAACCTCGCTGTAAATTGTTGGATATTCTTCACGCGTTAACTACCATTTGTTACAACTTAAATACCAACTTTCAACTCTCATTTTATTTCTTTTTTTCACTTTCATCCTTTGCTTTTTGCCCATCCACTTTATTTAATAACTTACTAACTTGTCTTTTTTAATTAACCGGAATTATTTTATATGAAAACTTTTTCAGATTTGATTTTTCCCTTTTCCCTATTATCACCTATGTGTTTAAGGGATGTTTATCACCTCTCTGTCCCACCCATTTGCCCCTGCCCCCTGCACCTTGAAATGAATTTTGACGAGTTTAAGTTTAATAAACTAAATTTGATGTACTTTGAAGATAAATTGAGATTATATTTCGGAAAGTCTCAACCGATTATATATGCTTTTAAAAGATGTACCTTTTTAAACAACTACTTTGTTTACTCGTTGTTGGGATTTTATTATTTTTTTTTTACGTATAATAACGATGATGAGAAACATATTAAAATAACACCATAAAAGAAATAGGAAAAAATTACACAAATTTATTTAACGTGGTTCAGTCCCTCATGTCTACGTTGTTCATTATTTATCTCAAAATGTATTACATATATATCAAAATCCTCCTTTCAAGTTTTGTGAGTTAAACTTGAAAAATCATTTTTCACAAGTTTTATGGGTGAAACTTGGAAATCCCTTCCTCACAAGTTTTCTGGCAAAACTTGAAAACTCTCGTTCACAAACTTTCTGACAAAACTTGGAAACCCTCCTTCATATGACCTCCTCTTTCATTTAAGGCGGTGACCCCCTCTATAAGCCGAAGTGATTTTTCTCATCTCAAGAGTCTCTATTTATTAAACTTACATTGCAATCTTAAAAAGAGGAAACAAATCACTAAAATAAATACAATATATTTCAATTCTAAATAATATCTTAAAAGAATCAATATATTTTAAAATCTAAATAGTATCTCAAATATTTAAATTTGAAAATTTGAATTGTTTTCCCAACACTCGTAAAATGCAAGGATTTCATTTAATATAATAAAAAGATAAATTATTTTTATTAGTTTTATACTTTAAAGTGTATTTTATTTATATTTCAAAATTATTATTAGGTTTTATTTTATAATAATAAAATAATTGATTATATAACGTTTATAAATTAATATAAAAAATGAGTTTATGAGAAATAGATCCTCTAATTTTATGGAGGGAAAGTTATGGTAACTTAATACATTTAAACCGTTAGATTTGTAATAATAGATCAAATTATGATACATGTACATTTAAGTCAAAATATATATTGTACACATGTTACAATCTAATTTATTTTTATAAGTTTAATAGTTTAAATGTATTAAGTTACCGTAACTTTCATATACATAAGAGAAAATTATGGAATAATAAATTATTTTTATGATAAATAAAACGCTACTGCTCTTAAGTGTTTTTTTTGTTGGAAACAGCAAAGAAAAGAAAAATGTATGGAGGTAAGGCGTATTGTATGCTAACAAGAGAAGGCAACAAAGCATTGGAGGACGTTTTCTATGAACATTTTTCGTTCCATCATTGTTTGATCAGTTTATTTTTCTTTCTTTTTTGGTCGTTTTATTGTTTTTTGTTTCCTTTTTTTTTTTTAAGTTTATGGCGAATTTTTTTATTGACAGTAAATATTGTTTGTGAATATTTTGTTAGCTGTTGATTAATTTGGTTATTGATTATTCTTGAATATTTATAAATGTATTTTTTAATAAGAATTTTCATTTTATATTACAGGTTGGTGTAAAATAAACATGAACTGGTATTTTTTCAAATTGGTATTTTAAATTAAGGTTATTTACAATATTTAGTTTTATGTAGTTTTTTTTATTTCTTCATATTTTTTAAGTAGTAGTAGTAAAAATTTTAAGAGTTGAAAATTTGTGAGTGATTATTTTATTATTTAGTAATTTATGTGCCAAATATTTTATACTTAGTTAATTACCTTCTCCGTATAATTAAAGAAATACTTATATTTTTTATTGTTTTAAAATTTAATTTTAGGATTCATTTTGAAAAGTTGATTTTATTTAATTTTTTTATTTATACTTTTAGAGTATTATATTAGATGCATTTAATTAGTATAATGATTGAAGTTAATTTTAAAAAATCAATTGTGCTATTATTTTTTGATTGAATAATTAAATTTCTTGTGATTTATTAATATCATTTTTATTTATGTTTGAATTAGATTTTTAAATAAAACATATTTAAACTTGAGTGAATTAATTAATTGTTTTTTATTTTTTAATGTTATCATTTTGAATTAATTAATTTCTTTTTTATAGTTACATTAATAAATGTTAATGTAATAAAAACTATTAATGTTAGTCATATTTTAAATGTTTTGTTTTTAATATTTTTTATAGTTTAAAATTATTATATAAAAATTTTAAAATAGACATAGATGCATTTAATTAGTATATTAGTTAAAGTTGAAGTCAATTTTAAGAAAAAAATATTTGTGTTATTATTTTTATTAGATTATTAAATTTTTGTGATTATTATCTAAATTAATTAAAAAAATAATTAAAATTAAGTATTATTATGTAATGATGTATTTTGTTTTTGTTTTATAGTTACATTAATAAACGTTAATGTAATAAAGATTATTAATGTTAGTCATATGTTAAATATTGTTTTTCTTTAAAAAGTTGTTTTTTTTACTTATACTTTCAAATTATTATATTAGAAATTTAGAATGGATATGCATGTATTTTATTAGTATAGTGGTTGAAGAAATTTTTTTTATACATGAATTTTAGAATAAATATACACACATGCATTTCAAAGTATTTTATTGGATTATTAAATTTCCTTTGATTTAATCATATTAATATAATTTATGTTTGAATCTTTTTTTTTTTTTATGATTATAGTATATCTTGACAAATAATCTAATTTGAATCTCTTATTATTAAAGTTACAATCCTATAAAAAATTATCAAATAGTTTATAATTTTCTTTTTATAAAAGTACTTTATACGATGATTTGAATTAATGAAACGAAGTATCAAATAGTTTTAAAATTTTTTGAAAATTTATAGATTTGATCTATACATTAAGAAAACTTTTTATTTAATAGTTGAATTACTAAATTTTGATATAGAACATGAATTATTGAATGAGATAAGTCTAGGTAGATTTATTCTTAGAATAAGTGGATTCTTCCTTTTATATATATATATATATGTAGAGAGCGCTTCCACAATTTTATTAATTTTTTTTCTTAATATACTAGCAATTATGAAAGTTACGTTTTAGTTGTTTATCCAAGTTATAACATTATTTTTTCTTTTAATAAATATATTCATTTTTTTCATTTATATCAAAATATTAATTTTATGTATGAAAACAAATGGAAAATGTGTATATATATATATATATATTATTTTTAAATGTGAGAGATGTTTCTTTTGTATTTTTTTTATAAAAAAATCATAAGGATTCGGGTTAGCAAATGGCTAATCAATAAACCCTTCCAATAACATGAAAGATAGAATTGTTATTCAATCAATGTTATTAATTTTTATTTGTTGATATTTATGCTTAAAGCTTAGGACAACGAATAATTATTCTATTAACTTTTATGATTTACATGATATTAAAGGGTAGAAGTGCTACTCAATTAATATCATCAACCATAAAAATAAGTATACATGAAGCAAAATTATGTTTATATTTTTATCTAAAGAAATAGATTTTGCATAAGGATTCAAGTTAGCAAATGGCTAATCAATGAGTTCCTCCAATAACGTTAAAAATAGAAGTGCTACTTAATTAACGTTATTGGTTGCAACATATCTTTATTCTTAAAAAAAATTTACAGGAGAGTTTAAGCTAGCAAATGACTAGTCATTAAACCCCTAGAACCAAATAATGTTAAAGATAAAAATGTTATTCAATTAACATTATTATTTGTCGTATATTAAATACTTTTTAAACAAATATTTTAAAGACAACAAATCATATTCACTATGTACATACAATTATAAAAAAAATGATACCAAATGAGAGGCTTGAACTTGTTGAATCTTCAAATATGACGATCTATTAGGTGTTTTTTGGCTACCTTTCACACTACAATATGCTTCACAAATCTCAAGAAATACAATATGAAGGAGAGAGAGAGAGAAATTTCGAGCTCTAAAGAGTCTTAGACGAAATTTTCAACCCCGAAAATAGTGTCTGAGTCTACTATTTATAGACATTAGACCTGACCAGAGAGGCCCATTTCGGATTTGGAATGACCCGTTCTAGATCATCCCGTTATGAATGAAATTTGAGCCTAAAACGACCCGTTCTAAATTCAGAACGGATCGTTCTAAATTCAGAACGACCTATTTCAGATTAGGCATTTAGGTCATTTTTACCGACTTGGAAAGCCCCGTTCCATTTTTGGAACGGCCCGTTCTCAATTAGAGTTGTAGGTTTTTGTAGTAGCTTGGAACGGCCCGTTCCAAATTTGGAATAGCCCGTTCTGGGCTCCTAAAACTGACTTGTTTGAGCTTCAAGCTTCCTTGTTGTCATATGGTATTGACTCCATACTTTGGGAGCTCCTCCTCTTCATAGTAGACATCCGTTTTATTGCTTTTGTAAGTCCAGATAAAATTGGTTATTCACACACACACACACACACACACACACACACACACACACACACACACACACACACACACACATATATATATATATATATGTAATCATTCAACTTAACATCACCTTTTCCAACTCACTCATCGCATCATGATTTATCTTCATACAACATTATGCATTATCATCTTTCATGTATTTTGCAATATCATGAGCAACTTACATTCACAACTTATCATCATAAAACTTTCAACTTAATCAATTTAAATCAACAT